GATGATTTGAAAGGAGGAATTACATAATTTTATAAGAGGAATTAAAACTGCTCTATTTAATCATAAAAGTAGAAATGCCATTAATAAATGGAGCCTTTAGGAAAATATATTTTGCTTCAATAAAAAATAAGATTCTAAAACTCCTGTTTGATGTTCAAACACAGAGAAAATTATCACTTGGTTAGGTATTATATAGGGAAATTATTTGATAGATAGGGTAGACATCCAAGTTGTTTCAAAAATCTAATTCTAGGGCTGGCAGAGTGGCTCAGTTGGTTAAGAGCGTGAGCTCTGAGCTACAGGATCGCCAGTTTGATTTCCACATGACCCCGAGCTGAGCTGCTGCTGAGCTGACAACAGGTGGAAGGATGGCTCAGCTAAAAAAAACCCCACCTAATTCTATGACTTTATACACAAAAGTTATTTTGAATTAACTTTGAGACATAGTTTTTTGACAAAATTTAAATTCACCTTTGTCAGTATAGATATTGCCTCTGCAGAGGGACAGAGAGCAGGAGTTTTTCTAGGGTGCATTTACTTATATTTTCATATATTTATAATATGTGAAAAAAATATTTTTTCAAAGAAGAGTCACCACTTGTTTCAAATACCATTCTAATTGCTCACTGCTGCTGGGGACTTGATGTGTGATAGATAAAGACTGAATTCTAAGTCCAGCAATCGAAATGATTTCTGTAGTTATTTTCATAACTTTACTTTATTTTAATTTTCCTAAAAAGTAAGGATGATGATTATCCAAACATTATATCTCATTGCTTGGTACATTCTCTGTGTATTTATATGATGTACTAAGGCTGTAATGAGTATAAGGTATGCTTTGTGTTACTTTTGCAATCGAGTGATGGATAATATTGTATTTTTTAGAATTCCTTTATGTCCAAGCTCAAACCTGAGCAAGATGGTTGTTTAAATTTAAAACCACTACCTACAATCAAGTAACTGAATAAAGCTGGTAAAATAATTGAAACAGCTATCCACAGAAGATAAATTACCAATCTAGGAATCAATAATTACTCTTCTGTTGACAGCTGCATCTTGAAAATAGCAGATCATTTGTTATCTTCATAAACTCCCTAGCACCTAATTAGGAAGAAAACCTTCCCTTCTGAACATCACTGTATGGCATACACAACGAAGGTATGGGGACACCAGAATGACTAGCCCTGCACACATTGAACAGATACATCCCCACAGATGTTCACTTTCCTTCCTTTCACTCAGCTGCATTATGCAACTGGGGAGTGAGGGACAAGACAAGCATTTGTTGAATACATATTAGACCCAGACCCACCATGCATAATATCCCATAGAAGCCTTGTAAAAGGAACTGTTTCACCCACCAGGTGCACATAGGGGCATATCAGAGCACCAGTGTTTGAATACGTGTTTGTTTCAGCTTCAAATCCATGTGTCTTCCACCATAGTGCACTGTTTTCAAGGCAGTTCTGGGAATTGCAGGTGCTGTATTAGCAGAATCAGGTTCAAAGGGGCACAAGGGGAAATGAGTAAATGTTCATATGAGTGATGTACGGTTTCAGTAGCTCGGCATTTGAGCCTGACACCTGGTGCCTGGCTCCTAAAAGCATCTGTTGATGGAGGAAGTCCATGCCTGTGCTGCTCTGCACACCAGCAGCATCACCGAACACACACTAGAACTGCAGTTAAGACGGGGTCCCTGCATTTGCTCACACCTCAAGTTTCTCATGACTAACTATATGGATGGCGTGTACAACACCTCCCTCAGAGAGTGACTGCGAATGTCACACGGGACATTGCATTTGTTAATTTATTCCAGAACCTGCCTTTTATTCTGTGCAGGCCCAAAGTGAAGGGATTTTGGAATAAAAATATGAACAGGATATATTCTTGTCCTTTAATCCATTAAATTACTTACGAGAAAATTGTAATGTAAACACTCTTTAACATAACATCACTGCAAAGTCTGCCTTTGTTAACACACACATGTGCTGATGCGCTCTCCCACAGCCCGCAGCATCTCAGAGACCCTGGGCTCTCCCTTTTCAGGGGGAGCCTCCTGTGCTTCATTCTCTGCCTCTGAATTCCTCCCACTGAGGTGCAGAGGTGCCTGGATGTGGGCCCTCAGGGAAAGCTTAGGCTGTGTTCACGGAGGACTTAGACGACCTTGGCTCAGGAAATTATTTACATAGTCTCTGGGGGGGAAAAACAGTAAGAAGGCAAGTGCAACTGCTGAAATGAAAACCAGCAGACATCCTTTCAAAAATTATAAGCAGGAAGGAAAATGCTATGTCAGTGGCTGTCACTTTTGAGGTTTAGGCTCGTTGTTGTTGTTGTTTTTCTTTCTTTCACTATGGAGTGGGCTGAGCTTGGAGCTAGGAGAGCAGGAATCCCTAAAACTGAGGCAAAGGTTGTGGCCGAGGAGCCCTGAGAGCCTTGGTGGAAAGGATTCCGGCTATCGGAACACAGATGCCCCGGGGAGACGCCATCAGGAACCCAAAGCCACAATGACAAAGACGTTAGAAAGGGTGAGCAGGGAGAAGGTCAGAGGATGGAGGGCCCCATATTGTCAAGAAGGCCAGACACTGGTGGAGAAGGGAGTGGCATGGCCCATTGAGGGTAGCTAAAAGATTTGGAGCTAAGCAACCTGCACGTGAGTCAGAGTTCAGAGCCATGGTGAGGGTTGGGGGGCAAGCCCCAAAATGTGGTTGTATTAGCACAAACACAGAGGTGTTTTGTTCACCCCAGAAGGAAAGTCATGAGAAAGCACAAGTTTAAGTCAGACCAACCCTACTAAACAAAAAAGTGCCTGGGGAGGCACTTCACATAGTATCTATAAATAAATAGCATCTAATTATAACCCAGTCCCCCTTGCACACGGGGAGCTGTAAGGGAAATTGGATTTCTAAGAACAATGGCTTAGACCTCCATCCCCGCCTTCCAATGCCAGGGACAGAACAGAGCTCAGCAGTCCCAGAACCAGCCAGGAAACATGTGCCATCTGACATCAGCTCACCCACTTCGCCTCACCCTCCTAAAAACCACTGTGGCCCCCACAACAGAAGCCTTACCCTCTCTTAGCCTCCTAGACACTAGGGAATCTGCATTCAAGTGAACCGTGCTACTACTCCGTCTATACACTTAAGCAAATACACAGCTTTATATCTCTAAGTAAAATAAAACCAGTTTCTAGCATCTCCCAGAGTCACAGCAATAAAAAGCATGATCATATACATACGAGTAAGATGTAGAAAAATATGGATCACACATTTGATATTGTATGGTCACCTTTGAAATTCTCTCCTCCACTAGCTTCTAGGATAAACTGTACTGCTTCTATTCATTTGTTGTTCACTTATTTATTCCACCAGTATTTATTGGGTGCCAGTCACTCTTCAAGGTCCTGGGGATACACAACCGAACAAAACAGAAAAAACAGCCCCTGGTCCACATGTCCCTTACATTTTGCTGCACTACTCTTCTGCCATTCATTTTGCTACATCTTCTCTTTGTCTTTAATTAAATATATGCGTACTTACTACATGCTCGCCCCTGTATCAAATGTGTGATGGCCTAGCACTGTCCTCATATGTCACAGGAAGTGGGGCACAGAGAGGTGGCACAGCTCCTGTAAAGTGCCTCAGCTAATAAGTGGCACAGTCCTCAGGCAGGGCACACTTTTCTGTCACGAAGCACTCTGTGCTTTTGCTTTCTTTTCTAACCTTGTGTTTTGGTCACACGTGTCTATGTTCTCAAAGAATTTATCCGTTTTCATTATCCACTTAACATTTAGGCAGAACGCCTCAAACCCTATAGACTCTGTCCTCGCCAATCCTCCAAGCACTCCTCCTCAGAATGGGACCCACAAACCTCAAGAGTAGAGCTACAAGGACCTGAGTCATCTAACCCCGCCTCTCACTGGGACTTTATCTGCTGCCACCCATCCTCATGTGGGTGCTCACCAGCCTGCCTGAGGCTGGGGGCTGGGCGCATCCTGCCCCCTCCACTGCAGCTGGCCACACTCTGTGCCCTCTCACAGTTGAGCTCGCCAAGCCCCCTCCCTCCTGCAGCTTGCACTCACTCTCCCTTCAGGCCTTAGCTGAGACCTCGAGGGCCAGACCTGACCCAGTGGAGTGGTTCAGAATCCTCTGCTGGATTCCTGCTATACCCGTGAGTTCTTTTCCCAGTTATTGGTTTGCAATTTTATGAGTTGTGATCTTAAGGCTCCTTGAGAGCTAGGCCATGCATCCTTTGCTCACCTTGTGTCTGAGACCTCAGCTACCAGCAAGCCTGTGAATGACAGAGTGAATGATGTGCCACAAACGTGCCCACCATCCCTTCAAAGTCAACAAAATGGAACGTATAATTGCTCAGATGGCACACACTCCCCACACTTGCCTGCTTTCCCATGATCTGATGACTTCACCATACTCATCCTGGGTGGGGATCCCATCTTCTCTGTCAAATCACCTTGCTCCTTCTTGTCTTTCTCCATTTCCCCATGTCACAGGAGCAGCGGCACAGATGGGCGCTGTTTGACCGTTCCTTCCAACGAATGCCTTGGCCTACAGCGTTGTCAGCTCCGAGATGCTCTTTGCGACAGTCATATCCGCCATGCAGTCCTTTCTGAGCCGGGCCAGATGTGTATTCAAATGTTCTGAGTGGTCACTGGGCTATAGACCTATCGTCATCACACACACACACACACACACACACACACGCACGCACGCACATCTCTTTGGGCATGTTCCCTTCAACTCATCTACTCATTTCTTTATCATGAGCTCATTAACAGGAGGCAGAAAAATGGAGGTTTGGAAAAGGATTTAAGAACTCTTCCTGCAGACAAGGATGAGGTGGCCATGGGGCTGTCCTGGACGCAGTGAAAGGGAGAAGCTGAGCAATTCTCCACATTACCCGGCGGTGAAAACAGGAGCAGAGGCTGCATGAGGGCGCGCAGTGAGGGGCTCCCGATCCCAGGGGTCTGAGGACTGGAGCGCTAATTGACCCTGGTGCCCAAGGGCATCTGCCTTGTCACTTTTCACCGGGAGTGGCTCCCTTGGCCTGAACCCCAGTCGGCTGATAACACCAGGCTGTGCTCCCTGGTCCTCAGGCAGGGCCCCTCCCGAGTGCAGACGACAGGGAGACGGTGCGGCGCTGGCATGGCCGCGGGGGCGCCCGGCCAGGGGCTGCGCGACGAGGCGCGGTGCCCCGTGTGCCTGGACTTCCTGCAAGAGCCGGTCAGCGTGGACTGCGGCCACAGCTTCTGCCTGCGCTGCATCTCCGAGTTCTGCGACAAGTCCGATAGCGCGCCGGGCGGCCTCTACGCGTGTCCGCAGTGCCGCGGGCCCTTCGCGCGGGAGGGCTTCCGGCCCAACCGGCAGCTGGCCAGCCTAGTGGACGGCGTGCGGCAGCTGGGGCTGGGCGTGGGGCTGGCGGGGGCGCAGTGCGCGCGCCACGGCCAGGAGCTGAGCCGCTTCTGCGAGGACGACCAGGCGGCGCTGTGCTGGATGTGCGACACCGCGCCGGAGCACAGGGGCCACCGCACGGCGCCGCTGCAGGAGGCCGCCCGGCACCACCAGGTGAGCCGCACTCCACGGGCGAGCGGGCGGGCCTGGAAGTGCCCTCTGACGCGAGCGGGCCGAGCGGAGGTGCTGGGTCACCTGCCAGGACGCAAGGCCAATGCCAGCACTTCGTCGGGACCGCCCGCGCCCCCCGCAGCCGGCGGCACAGCGCGCACTCGGAGCTGGGCTCCGCGCCTTGGCTTCGCGGTGGCCCCCTCTGAACCCCTGTGAAGGAGCCCCGAGGCACATAACTTTACTGGTCGCTCTCGCCCACGTAGCCTTCCTGGTCCTTTGCTTTCTGGCTGGTCTCGTTTTTCCTGAGGCTGATTGTCTGGGCCCCACAGCTAGAGCTCTGTGTAGAGGGTAGCGTCGTGTTTGGTTCTTGATTCCAGGTGTGCATCTTTAGTAAACGCTTCCCAACAGCTATCACATTGAGTGATACTGTGACCAAAACAACCTTGGGGTGTGAGCATTAGTAAAGAACAGCCGTCTCGATGGGCACACTGCTCTGAAGTAGGCATCCAGGTGCTAAGTGCAGGGCCAGGTGTTTATTCAGCTCACGTTTGGGGACTTAGGTTTGAGCATCTTCCATGAAAAGATGCCTGGTATGAGTGTTAGGCCCCCCAAAGGGACATCTGTAAAAGTCTTTAAAGGAATAGTCTTGGACATATTCTGAACACATTGAAGTTCCCAACATCTGGAACAACTACTAGCACAACGAAGGTCAAAGTCCTGTTTAACCTACTGACATATTTATCTATCACAATGAAATAAATTGCAAATATTGACTTTCTTAAAATGTTCATTATTTTCTAAACTTAGTTGTATTGTTTTAAATTAGGGTTTGGGATATTTATCCCCTCAACTTCCCTCCAGACCTACCTGGAAATATCAGTCTTAGTTGTTATTTTTGGTTTTGGTTGTCATCTACAAAAACCAGGTGGTAGCTATTTCTACCTAGACTTTTGCAAAATGTTTCTGCCTTCTTTTGATCCACAAGGCACCACACAGAGCATGGCTAGTGTACTATTTCTAGAAAAGTTCTCTCTATATTTTAGTAGTCTTTCAATTAAATACCAAATAAATATCTGCTGAACTTCTTAGCCTGTCAGTCTAGACTTCCTAGGACCCTATGTTCTGTTTCTACAGCTGTTGCCTTAACTAGCCATGAGATCCAGCAAAACTAGCCTAATCATTTGGCCCCAAGCATGCCACACCCTAGTCACATCCTTGCTTTTACTCAGGTTTCTTCCATCTGAGGGAGCTTCTGTCTATCTACATGTCAGTGTGTTCTGTTCCTTGCAAACACTAAAACAAATGCCACTTCCACCGTCTTGTTAAATCCTCCATGAATCCTACTGCTCTTTTTATGAGCATTATGTTATAATAGTCTCTTTTTAAAAATAATTGATATGGAGGACTTGTGAATGATTAGCAAGAATTTTTTTTTCCTGAGACTTATCAAATGACTTTGGGTAGAGTTTAAAAATGTGTGTATGTGTATCTTTGTATGTGTTCTCTGTAAATAAGATATGTGTTTAGCTCTAGCAGGAGTCCTAGAGTTGAAAAGAGATTTAGTTTCCATTAAATTATTTTTTTACTTCTTGTAAGATTTACAACATTCTGTATTTTTTTTCATTGCATTAATACTAGCTTACGTGGTTTCTTCTGGCCTAATAATAACAAACACTTCTGACTATAAAGTAATACATAATTTTAAGGAGTTTGAAATATATAGATGTAAGGAATAGCATCACTTTTCAACCAAGCACTAGTAGATGAGATTTAATCTACTGAACATTTTCATCGACCTTTGCCTAGTTTTTATATATTCATCACAAGCACATTTTTTCAAAATTGGTGTTGCACTACATAAAATATACTTATTTTTATTGACTTTATAATTGTGAGCATTTCTTGTTATTAAATATTCTACAGCACTTTATTTTAATTTCATCCTTTAATCTAAAATAAAATTTTCTTATCCTCTACTTTTAACATGTTATAATAGCTACTATTTTAAATAATGCCATTATGAGTATACTTTGAGATAAATCTTTGATTATGTCTGGATTAACATTTAAAAGTGTATTTATGTTTAACTTAGATACTAATGAGGTTGGGCATGTCTGTTTGTTCATCAGGGCCTGTTTTTTTTTTTTAGCTGAGCTACCCTGCCACCTGTTGGCAGCTCAGCAGCAGCTCAGCTCAGGCCAGGAATCGAACCGACGACCCTGTTGCTCAGAGCTCACACTCTTAGGTGAGCTCTTAACCAACTGAGCCACTCTGCTGGCCCCTTCAGGGCCTGTTTTAAGTGATCTCAGAAGCTGGTCAGTATTGGTACTAAGTGAGCATGTCTGTAATGGTCTTAGCATATCTTCCCAAACAGGCAAAGCTCCAGATGGCCCTGGAACTGGTGAGGAAAGAGATGGAGGAGGCTTTGACACAGGAGGCCAATGTGGTGAAGAAAACTATCATTTGGAAGGTACGAGAATATTGGGGCTTTGGAAGATTCCAAACTTAGGTCATTAAATTCAGCTACCTTCCCTGTGCCAACTCATTTGTTTCATCTACATAGGTGCTCAAGAAAAACATCTCAGTGTCATCCTAGATAATCCTGCTCCCTCCAATTATAGACATCTGTGTCCTTCATATCTCTAACACTACAGAAACCCAAATCATAAACAACTTTGCTGATCTTGATCTTCCATGGTATCTAAAGCAATTTCAGATGGCCACTACAAGTTTAAAAATGTATTTGTTGGATGAATGAATAATAAACATTTCATAGCATTGATGCAGACAAAATTTAGCTAGAAGGCATTCATCTTACTAAGAGAGGGTGAGGTGAAGTTTCAGCCTCCTTTCACTCACATACATGTTCTCTCTTCTGTACTTCATTGGCTCTTTGTTTCTCCAACCCATTTACACACACACACACACACACACACACACACACACACACACACAAAACAGTTCTCAGTCTGGGGTGATTTTGCCATCCAGCAGACATTTTGCAATATTTGTAGATATTTTTTCTTGTTACGACTGGGGATGTGTGTGGGTGCTACTGACATCTAATGGGTAGAGGCCATGAATGTTGCCAAACACCCTACAATGCACAGGACAGCCCCCCACCCCCACCCCTCAAATTCACTACAAAGAATAATCTGGCCAAATGTCAAATAGGATCTATCTAGATTGAGAAACTATATATACAAACTATATGTGAAATATATATTTGCATAACATATTATACCATATAGAGAATTTATTTTATAGAATTTTACCATTCTTTGTCCTTCTCCAAATAATCCTTCTTCTGTGATCGTTTTCTATGTTTTACTAATTCTTTACTTCTTTTCTTGAAATGTGGTCTTATACTGTATCCTCCTTCAGACAGATATTTCCATAAGGACCATTTTTGCTACACTTTTCTTCTGTGATGCCTTATTGTGCATAGCTACATATTTATATACAAAGCTAAACATTTATTGATAATTTTTGTTCTTTTTAGGCTAATAATCCAAGTCAGTTATTTTCAATCCTGACCTGACCACAGACTTACAAAATCAGAAACTCCATATTAAGATCTGGGTCCTGCATTTTTGAAAGCTTCCACTGGTTATTCTAAAGTAGAAATGATGCTAAGATTCCTGTTCTAAGCCAAGTAATTTTGCATGATCTTCAGCACTGAGAATTTATCCATGGGAACCAAAAGCAACAAGCTTTTGGTTTAATGAACTCAAAAGTTCTATAAAAGCCCTCTGCTTCCTGTATCTGTAGATATAATTGTAGCACTGAAAAGGATGATGTGAGAAAACCCCTTCTCTCCACACAACCTGTTACACCCACATATAACTGCAGCCTTTTCAGTGACGAGGTTGTCAGCCCCATTCCTCAGTAACCTCCAACATAGGGAGAAATTACATGAGTTGTACTTTTAGATCAGATTATAGAATTCAGAGTTGGTTCATGTTAAAGAGGTGAGGATTATATGAATCTAGTGGTAAGAAAGTGGAAGAAAGAAGTGGAGATGGGAAACTGGAGGGAGGAGTTGAGTTCTATGGGGGATTTGAAAATTATTGTTAATTTTTTTAAAGGTGATAGCTTATTCTCTTTAATCAAACGAAGATGTTATGTTTAAAAATTGGCTAAGGAATCCAAATGTGGAGAGATTGTAGGAGGATAATTTGCCTCTTACACTCATACAAGTCTCAATAAAATAAAATTTAGATATAATGCTGTACCACAGTATGTTCCTTAGGTGTATTTAAAAATCGTAGAAATCAGATGTGGAGAGAAATCACAATTCCCTGATGTTCACTGGTAGCCAGTGGCCTGAGCACCCCTTGGCTCCTTCCTGGCTCTGCAGGGAACACTGGCCTTAGGAATGCAGATCACCGTGCTATAATAGAGGGAGCCTTCACCCTCTTCTCACCACTACCCTGCTCTCATTCACATTTACAAATCCGGGTAGCTCTAATCTCTCTTCATAATTCAGTTGTTTCTACAAGTGCTCATTCTAGTGACCCCTCTACTAGTAAATTGCAGCTTCTCTTGTGAAAGTGCTCTATGTTAGTGGCTCTGCTCAAGGACTTAGTAGCTATTAAATTCTAATGCCCTTATTGCCCTGTTCCCACATGTTGTAGGTATGGTACTGAAACTGGAATGTAAAAGGGCATTGTCCCCAAGTCCAAGTCCAACACTCAGCTTGAAAACTCGGCCAAGCCACCTCTCATGTGAGTGGCCTCTGGTTTTTGTGTGTTTTCAAAATGCAGCCAAACTTATGTTAAACTTATTTAAAGTTTGTATTTTAAATATATATATTATAATTTTGGAACCATTTTAAATGTAGTACTGTTTATTTTAAAGGTACTATTAAATATCTGAACGTTGACACTAAAAAAAAAGTAAATGAAATAAATGCAGCCAATCAGTTCACAGTTGGGAGGCTGGGCTCCCTCACTGCCTTGCTGTGTTTGTGAAGGCGACTGCCAGGGGGCGCTGTGCCCCCCGTCCTGAGTTTGGCGGTCACTGTCACTCCAGGAGAAAGTGGAAACGCAGAGGCAGCACTTCCGGCTGGAGTTTGAGAAGCATCGAGGCTTCTTGGCCCAGGAGGAGCAGCTGCAGCTGCGGCGGCTGGAGCAGGAGGAGCGGGCCACCCTGCAGAGACTGCGGGACAGCAAGAGCCGGCTGGCCCAGCACAGCAGGACCCTGCGGGAGCTGGCCGATGAGCTGGAAGACAGGTGCCAGCGCCCGGCCCTGGGCCTGTTGGAGGTAAGGCCACTGGACAGATGGCAGCGCCCATAGGCAAACCGCTGGGCGTGTGTGCTTTTTAGGAAAAGCACACCCGAACTCACTGGGAAAGCTTCTTGATCAGAGGGAAGCTAGAGAAGCATATAGAACAGTGCCTATTAAAAAGAAAAACCTAAATATTTTAAAAATTAAAATTAATCCGATGATTTATGTAAGAATAAACAGAAAAAGAACAACCTACACTACGATGGCTGAAAAACACTCCTAAAACCTCACAGTCAGTCTGTCACTGACGATGTTGCTGTATTCAGGGATGGCCAAGTCAGTCTTCGGTAACCCGTCTCAAGCAATAGCCAAGCAAATACATAAATTTTAAATTGTCCAGCTAGGAATTTTCATGTTAAAATTTAAGGCAAATGCGAACTCCCTACCCGTATCGTATGCTTATTCCAGGCACAGTGGGAAGGAAGTTCCAGGCCCACAGTCTGGTGGGATTGTAGAACAGTGGGGACGGGGAAATAAATGTTCGTTTGAACCCTCCGTGAAGACATTAATCCCCGTGAATCGGGAAAAACCATCACTGATGGATACATGGAACAGTGATAGAACTCAGTCAGAGAAAGTTTCTGGGCACACTGGGTTTTAGCTCATTCCCAATGACTTATTCTGGGGTTTCTGAACTGAGTAGTTCATATCCTCATACGAGTGCGGTCACTAAGCGCTGGCCACACAGTAGGGGCCATTCAATGAAGGAAACTACAAAGCATATGCATTTAATTTATCTCATTTTGTCTTCAAAATATCTATATATATAAGTAAAAAATGTTGTTGGTGTTATTGTTATACCTGTTTCCTTGTGAGCAAACCAAGGGGTAGAAAGGAATTTCTTTTTAAATTTCAGACAGTAAGTAAACACAAGAACTTCAGCGTTTTCAATAACATTCATTGTCATATCTCAAAACACAACTTACTTAAAATGAGCATTCACTAGCACCAAATCAATGCTAAAAAGATTTATAATGCAAATCTTAGGAAGCATACACTCAAATAATGCTTGCCTTTCTTCCCCAGTTCCAATAAGCTATATTTTATACCCAATGGCTTAAACCAAAGGCTGCCATTCCCATAAACAGTAAAATTAATCATCAGCCTGCTTTATAAAAATTAATCTGGTAGGTGATTATTTTTAGAGGGAAAGGAGAAATGCAATGCAGTTGATTTGTTTAATCTACTTTGAGATAAAATGTTGCTAGGTATTAATGACTTCTGTTTTTGTCTACTTAGGTAACCCACTCACATATGAGTTCATAGATATGGTGTGTTAGTTCAAAGAATGAGGAATTTGGCATTTTCATACAGAGATATTGAGAGTAACATTTTATGTCTATGCTTTTCATTATTTCTCAAATACATTCTACAGATATTTAAGATCTGTTCTTACTCTAATTCCACCTATATTTGTTGCAGAATGTAACTCTTAAAACATCCAAATGTTAATTTTCAATTTGGAAAATTGTTAAATTGGTAGCTATCACAGGTATTAACCGAAACTTTGTATAGTCTAATTCTATTCTAATAGAGACAACTGATTCTATTATTTTAAAGTCATGAGAAAATTCAACAACAGCCTATTTTTGGCTTCTATGAAGAGAGATTCATGTCTCCTATATTTTATCTTAATAGTTAATGATATCCAGTCATTCCAAAAGACAGATGTTCATGATTTGTCCCCTGTTTGTCAAAAGCAGTCTCCAGGTCTCACACCTGCTTGTATTTCTCTTTCCCTTCCAGGGTGTGGGAGGAGCCTTGAGCCGGTATGTTTACTCTCTGAATCGAGGATGGGTTGGGAGAGGCTGAGGTGGTTGGTGGATAACTGAGAGGTGTCAATTCTGTGCTCTTCTCAGAAGTAAGAGTGTCACACGGCTGGAACTGGAAACCATCCCCATGGAGCTGAAGACAATGTGTCGCATCCCTGGGATGAGAGAAATGTTGAGGAAGTTCCAAGGTAGGTTGTATCTTAGAGCTCAGGGGATGACAATGCCTGGGCTCTGGCTGTCCCTGCACCAGAACCCAAGGTGCAGTGAATAAATTCAGCAAGGTTTTATTTTGAAATCATAGTATTTGTTTACTACTGAATTGTGGAAGCTTTTGTGTCACATCACCCTGGTACCCGTGCAGACAGAGCCCTCCTTCCCGTTGCTGGTAACCATAGGACAGGGCAGGGTGATGGCCAACTGTGCGCCACTCCTGACAACACCCACACTGACATGCTACACAGGCTTCCCGGAGATGCTATTGATGGAAGGAGGTCCCATGACGTTGTTTTAATGCCAGCCACTTTTCTAAACATTGGAATAGATCATTGAAAAACAACAAAAATCCTACAAATCTCCACTTTGGGAGAGAGCACCGTGCCCAGAAGGAAGGGGACTGGGGTATATATGAGCAGTCCTGAGGAATGTCAGAGTCACTGACACCCGTACAAACTGCATCTGGTTAGAACAGTGGTCTTATTAGCTGTGACATGAGTAACATTATTTCCCAAAAATCTGCATGTCCATTTTTATAAAATGCTAAAAATAGTATTGTTTGAAGGACTAAATGAAATATATTTTAAAATAGAAAATAAAAGCATCAATATGAAAACATTGTAGAGTATCAAATAATTAGAAGTTTGGTTTATTTTATTATCTGTCAGTTTGATGAGTTGCTTAAATTAGAAAGGTAACAAAGCCAAAAATATTTAGTCAGTTATTTTTACGTTGGAATAACTGTGGTGTCATAAATGAATTTGTTTGGTCTGATTCTTTAAAACACTATAGGTTTAATTTTTTTTAATTTCTTTTTTTAATCCAACGTATCCCAAGTAATGAAAATACACTGTGACTATATTGTGGTTTCAATGCTTAACAGGAAACAGCTTTGTCTCCTAGTGAGGGAACCCATCTTTACTACTCTTGTTCAATGATTTAATCCATGTTCTAATAGGCAAATGGATATATACTAACTGGATAAATCATTGCAAGTCATTATACTCTCAGAATCCATGTCCTCATCATCTCCAATTCTATTGACTGAATTAAATACTCAATTAATCAATTCAAAAAATTGGCTTTTTTTTTAATCCAGCCACTTTTTTAAGCATTGGAATATATCATTGAACAACAACAAAATCCTGCAAATCCCCACTTTCATTATGCATGTATTTACTTAAATTATGCAATATACAGAAAATGTTAGAAGGTAATACAAATTATTGAAAAAAAGAGTAAGGTGTATATATGAAACATTTTTTTTACATAAACTTAAAAGTAACTACTCAAAAAAAGAAAAATCCAGAGCTGACACATATAGCATAAAACAAGAAACAGAGGGAAAAACCATAAAATACCACCACACTAAAATAACAGACAGGAACAAAAAGACAAAGAAACAATGGAGACACTAAGCTACCAGAAAACAAAAGATAGAATGGTTATAGGAAATCCTCATATATCAATAATCACCCTAAATGTAAATCTACTGAGCTCACCAAAAAGGCACAGAGTAGGAGGCTGGATCAAAAAACAAAACCCAACCATATGCATTCTCCAAGAGACACATCTCAGATACAAGGACAAATATAGACTCAAAGTGAGAGGGTGGAAAACGATACTCCAAGCAAATGGTATCCAGAGAAAAGTGGGTGTAGCCATACTTATAGCTGATGAAACAGACTTCAGGATATAAAAAAAAGGTAACAAGTGACAAAGATGGACATTTCATAATGATAAAGGGGGCAATACAGCAAGAAGACACAATATTATCAATATATATGCCCCAATCAGGGAGCACCAAAATATACAAAGCAACTGCTAAAAGAACTAAAGGGAGAAACTGATCAAAACACAATTATAATAGAGTACTTAAATATGTCATTGACAGCTATAGATAGATCATCCAAACAGAAAATAAGTAAGGAAACATCAGCCCTAAATGACACATTAGACCAAATGGACATAATTGACATTTATAGAGCATTTCATCCTAGAACACCAGACTATACAGTCTTTTCTAGTGTACATGGAACATTCTCAAGGATAGACCATACGTTGGGATATAAAACTAGCCTCAGCAGATTTAAGAAGATTGAAATCATACCAAGCATATTCTCTGATCACAAGGCTTTGAAACTGGATACCAACTACAAAAACAAAACAGGAAAAACCACAAATATGTGGAGATTAAACAACATGCTATTAAAGAACAAATGGGTCAAAGAAGAAATAAGAGGGAAGATCAAAAGACATACTGAAACAAATGATAATGAAAACACATCTTATTAAAATTATTGGGATGCAGCAAAAGCAGTAATAAGAGGGAAATTCATATCACTACAGGCCTATCTCAAGAAAGAAGTAAAATCCCAAATAAACAACTGAACATTACACCCTAAAGAACTAGAAAAAGAAGAACAAATGAAACCAAAAGTCAGCAGAAAGAAAAAAGTAATAAAAATTAGAGCAGAACTAAATGAAATACAGAATAAAAGGACAATAGAAAAAAATTAATGCAACAATGAAATGGTTCTTTGAAAAGATTAATAAAATTGACAAACCCTTGGCTAGACTCACTAAGGTAAAAAAAGAAAAGACACAAGTAAACAAATTCAGAAATGAAAGAGGGGAAGTTACCACGGATGCCACAGAAATGCAAAGGATCATACACGAATAGTATGAAGGTCTATACGCTACTACATTCAATAACCCAGAAGAAATGGACATGTTCTTAGAAACACATAGCCTTCCTAGACTGAATCACAAAGAACTGGAAAATCCAAATACACTGATCAACAGTAAGGAAATTGAATCAATCATCCAAAACCTTCCCCAAAGCAAAAGTCCAGGACCAGATGGCTTCACTAGTGAATTCTACCAAACATTCAAAGAGGATTTAATGCTGTCCTCCTCAAACTCTTCCAAAAAATTGAAAAAGAGGCAATACTTCTTCACTCATTTTGAGGCCAAAATTACCCTGATACTAAAATCTGGCAAGGATAACACACAAAAAGGAAAACTACAGACCATTATCTCTAATGATACAGATGCAAAAATCGTAAACAAAATTCTAGCAAATCAAATACAACAATACATTTAAAAGATTATGCATCATGATCAAATGCATTTCATCCCAGGGGTACAAAGATGGTTCAACATACGCAAATCGATCAATGTGATACACCACATAAACAAGCTAAAAGATAAAAAATCATATTGTATCAATAGACGCAGAGAAAGTATTTGACAAGATATAACATCTGTTCATGATTAAAACACTTAATGAAATAAGTATAGAAGGAAAATACCTTAACATAATAAAGGCCATATATGATAAACCCTCAGCTAATATAATTAATGGTGAAAAACTGAAGCCTTTTGCTCTATGTTCAGGAACAAGACAGGGTTGTCCCCTGTCACTACTGTTATTTAACATAGTACTGGAAGTCCTAGCCAGAGCAATTAGGCAAGACAGAGAAATGAAGGGCATCCAAATTGGGAAGAAAGAAGTTAAATTGTCACTTTATGCAGATGATATGATTCTTTATATAGAAAACCCTGACAACTCCACCAAAAAGCTATTAGAAACAATAAATGAATACAGTAAAGTTGCTGGCTACAAAATTAATTTACAAAAACCCATTGCATTCCTATATACTAACAATGAAATTTCAGAGGAATAAATTAAAACAACAATTCCTTTTGAAATTGCAACAAAAAGAATAAAATACATAGGTATAAACTTAACAAAGGATTTGAAGGACATATACACTAAAAACTGTAAGACATTTTTAAAAGAAATTGAAAAAGATACAAAGAAATGGAAAGACATTTTGTGTTCATGGATTAGAAGAATCAACATAGGTAAAATGGCCATATTATCCAAAGCAATATATAGATTTAATGCAATCACCATCAAACTCCCAATGGCATTTTTTAAAGAAATAGAACAAAAAATCATCAGATTTGTCAGGAATCATAAAAGATCCCAAATAGCCAAAACAATCCTAAGAAAAAAGAACAAGGCTGGAGGTGTCACAATCCCTGACTTCAGCTTGTACTACAAAGTGACAATAATCAAAACAGCATTGTATTGGCAGAAAAACAGACAGACAAATGGAATAAAATTCAAAACCCAGAAATAAACACATATACATGGGCAATTAATTTTTGACAAAGGAGCCAAAAACATACAATGGAGAAAACAAACCCTCTTCAATAAATGCTTTTGGGAAAATTGGAAAGCCACGTGCAAAAGAATGAAACTAGACTGCCATCTGTCTCCATATACCAAAACTAACTCAAAATGAATCAAAGACTTAACATAAGACCTGAAACAATAAACTGAATAGAAGAAAGCATAGGTACTAAACTTATGGACCGTGGGTTCAAAGAGGATTTTATGAATTTGACTTCCAAAGCAAGGTAGAAAAAGCTAAAATAAATGAATGGGACTATATCAAACTAAAAAGCTTCTACACAGCAAAAGAAAGCATCAACAAAATAAAGAGGCAACCAACCTAATGGGAGAAGATATTTGCAAACAATGTCTGCAACAAGGGGTAACATCCAAAATATGTAAATAACTCATACGACTCAACAAAAACAACAACAAAAAAATCCAATTAAAAAGGGGGCAGAAGACCTCAAAAGAAACTTCTCCCAAGAAGACATACTAATGGCCAACAGATATATGAAAAAATGCTCAACTTCACTAGTTATTAGGGAAATGCAAATCAAAACCACAATGAGATATTACCTCATGCCTGTTAGAATGGCTATCATCAACAAGACAAATGATAAAAAATGTTGGGAAGGCTGTGAGAAAAACGAACCTTCATACACGGTTGGTGGGAATGTAAATTGGTAGAGTCACTATAGAAAACAGTATGGAGCTTCCTCAAAAAATTAAGACTAGAATTACCATATGACCCAGCAATTTCTCTCCTGAGTATCTACCAAAAAAACCTGAAAACATTTATCTGTAAAGATTTATGTACCCCGATGTTCATTGCAGCATTATTTATGCTGGACAAGACATGGAAACAATCAAAATGTCCTTCGATAAATGATTGGATAAAGATGTGGTATATATACATAATAGAATACTACTGGACCATAAGAAAAGATTAAATAGTGCCATTTGCAACAACATGAATGAATCTTGAGATTATTGTGCTAAGTGAAATGAGTCAGACAGAAAAAGTTGAGAACCATATGACTTTACTCATATGTGGGATATAAAACTGAAAGCAACAAATGAACAAGACAAACAAACAAACAAAACTTATAGAAACAGGCAACCATTTAGAGGCTACCAGAGGGCAAGGGGGGAGAGGGGGTGTTAGAAGAGGGTAAAGGGGATCAGATATTATATATGGTGATGGAAGGAGAACTGACTCTGGGTGGTGAACACACAATGTGACATATAGATGATGTGTTATAGAAATATATACTTGAAACCTATATAATTTTACTAACCATTGTCACCCCAATAAATTTAATTATATATATATATATATATATATGCACTTTAAAATAAGAAAAAGAAAAAATAGTAAGGTAAGGGTGACCAGAAGTTCTGGGGACAAGGCATCGACTTTTAAATTGTGTGATCGAGGAAGACCTCACCCTCACCCAGTAGGGTGTAAACTCAGCAAATATTTGATATGGCTGAGAGCTTTCCAGATAAGGACGTATGTACAGGAGGTGCCTTCCAGGAGCTCTGAAGAGGCCCTGCTGCGCTAGCAGAGTTAGGAGTGCAGGACCCGGTGGGCAGGCCACCAAGCAGGATGCTTTACCTCAGAGTGAAACAGGAAATCAGTGAACAGTTGTAAATGGAGAAATAGCATAATTGGGTTAATATCATGGAGGAGTACTCTGTGTGCTGTATTGGGAATCAGTTACAGAAGGGCAAGTGGAAAAAGCAATTAGGACCACCTTTGCAATAATTCAACCAGAGATGGTTATGGGCTGGACCATAGTACTCATAGTGGAGGTGCTGAGGATGGACAGAATTTTTGTGTGTTTTGAAGATACAGCTGGGAAGATTTGCTGTTCAATTAGACCTGAGGTGTCACAGAAAGAGAAAACTCATGAGTGGTTTCCAGGTTTAAACCTGCAGAATTGACATAACGAGGGTGCCATTTATATTGATGGCTCCAGAGAGGCAGAAGGATGGAAGCTGGTATTTGGACAAGGTGAAGAGTGTTAAATATCTGAATGTTGATGTCAGGTCTTCAGATGGCTTTATAGATATGGAGTTTCAGGAGAAAGGTCTAGCCTAGAGATAGGTAGCTGGGATCAGTAAGCAGCTGATTGAAATTTAATTAAAGCACTGAGCCAGCCAGCCCAAGAACACATTGGGAGTGAGCTGAGAAAGATAGAAGAGATCCCAGTCCTGCGACCATTGACTTGTACAATGGTGGTGATGGAGGAAAAGAGAATATAGCAGAAAAGGAGACCAACAAGAGGTGGGATGGCGAGTGCAGAGGGAGGAAAGCACACTGACTCATGTCTTTGGAAAAGAGAAAGGAGGTTTTCCAGGACAAAGGGTTTCACAACAGTGTTGAGTGCTCCAGAAAAGCCATTGAAGATATGTGTCCTCTCATCATTGTGGAGGTCCCTGGGAAGGTGGGCACGAGCTGTTTGGTTAAGGTATTATTCTATTATGGTGATTGAGTTTAAGAGAAAAGATGTAAAGACAAGGGTTGGAGATGGACTACTAAAAGCCACTTCACAGATTTCTTATAAATGAAACAAAGAAGTATGCTGGAGCAGGATTGATGTGTGAAAACATAACACGTTAGATAGGCCAACACTCCCATGGAGACCCACATTTCAATCCCTGTTACTTACAATTTCTAGAGTTTGGAGAAATCACATTAACTCTAACTCTGAGTTTCCTCATCTATAATGTGGGGGTGACAACGGCCACCTTGAGGATGGCTACATGGGTTAGCATGGACAGTGGACCACATGTGTGACCCACTCAGGTATGAAACATCACTAGAAGTGAGTTAGAGACAAAGAAGAATGACAATCATAGTGGTGACATTTGTTACTATGATATTAAAAATAAAACTATATTAATGAAATTTACTAGTTTTGATTGTTTATAAGGAGAAGACACTGAATATCTTACATCCTTTCTTCTCTGAGGAGATTTCATATGTAGATGTACTTATTAACTCTGTGGACAAGTAAAATTTCATGTCAGTCTCACTGGGACTTCACAGTATCAGCATTAGTTTTCTATTGCTGTGTAACAAATTGCCACAGACTTAGCCACACCCATCCATTAGCTGGAGGTTCTGCCGATCAGACTTCTAGGTGGAATCAGCTGGCTCTCTGCTTAGGGGTTTACAAGATCAAAATCAAGGTGCTGGCCAGGGTAGGCTTCTATGAAAGGTCTGGGGAAGAATCACTTTCCAAGCTTATTTAGGTTGTTAGCATAATGCATTTCCACACAGCTATAGGACTGAGGTCCCATTTCCTTACTGACTATCAGTTGGAGGTCACCTGCCTTTCTCCTCTTGGGGCACTCCCCTGCATCTTTAAAGTCAGCAATAACAAATCAAATCCAAATCTCTTTGACTTTCTCTTCTGCCACCAGGCGAATAGCCAGAGAAACTGTTCTGCTTTTAAACAGATTGATGTGATTATATTGGACTCACTCAGATAACCTCCCTCTTGTCATGTAGTATAACACAAACCTGAGAGTACCACCAGGGCCTGAAGGTCATGGGTTCTGTCTCAGAATTTTGCTTGCCACAGTGACATAGCTTTGAAAGTGGTGGATTTAGTTTTAATGAAATTTTTTAATAGTTTTTGAGACAAAAAAATACATCCCATGGGGTTTTTAGTTTTTACTTTAAATGCAAAAAATATTCCTAAGAGCACTCAGGTACTTTGAATGTAGACAGAGGACACTAACTGGTTATGCACTTGCTTTGTCCTGGCCTCAGTGTGCATGTTTTCAGTGGGGCAGCCAGGAACCCTGGGTTGTGCAGAGGTAGCAGCGGAATGTCCTAAAGTACTGAAGAATATTCTCAGTGGCCTGCAAGGTGAAATACTTACTGTTTTCTCTAGGAGTCTTTAGAGAGAGAGAGTGAGGAGTGGTGTGACTGTCCTGTGTCATGCTTCCTAAGTGCTTAGCTGCCTCTTCCGTCCTTTTACATGTCCCATGAAATTCTTTCAGTTGACGTGAAGCTGGACCCTGCAACGGCGCATCCCAGCCTCCTCTTGACCGCTGACCTGCGTAGTGTGCAGGACGGAGAATTGTGGAGGGATGTCCCCAGCAATCCCGAGCGATTTGACACGTGGCCCTGTATCCTGGGTTTGCAGAACTTCTCATCAGGGAGGCATTATTGGGAGGTCATGGTCGGGGAAAGAACAGAGTGGGGGTTAGGAATCTGTGAAGACACAGTGCCAAGAAAGGGGGAGACCACACCATCTCCTGAGAATGGAGTCTGGGCCATGTGGCTGCTGAAGGGGAACGAGTACATGGTCCTTGCCTCCCCATCAGTGCCTCTGCTCCACCTGGAACGGCCTCGTTGCATTGGGATTTTCTTGGACTATGAAGCAGGTGAAATCTCCTTCTACGACATTACAAATGGGTCTTACATCTACACATTTAGGCAACTGTTCACTGGTCTTCTCCGGCCTTACTTTTTCATCTGTGACACAACTCCTGTTGTCTTGCCACCTATGACAGAAGCAGAGTCAGGAGACTGTGCATCCAGGGATCATCTTTACCCTGCTTATAAGGTTAGAGATGACCATTTCTAAGATTCTGTCCCCGAGAAACACTCCAAGTGTAGCAGCGTTTATTGGAGTGGAGGATATACAATGCAAAGTCTCAACAAATGTCCCCATGTAGGTCAGCACTTTAGTCACTGCTGCTATGGAAATTTCCCATGGGGACAAAAGACAAAATATGAAGCATTTGCATCTGGAGGCACATTGCGCAGTATAATGATACTAGAAATGGAACATGTCATCACTCTTTATCCAGATGGCTCCACACACTTTCTTGATGAGTGTCTTCAAATGAATGGACCTTGTATTAAAGATATCTACACATTCATTATAATTTCTCATCCCTTTCAATCTCTTTTCATCCCAAGTCATCCACATATTAACTATTAGAAATGGCAATTCTTAAACTGATTGAGAGCTGTCCAGTGTCATTCCAGCATCAGATCCATGACTGTGTTTCTCCTCTTCACTTTTCTTCTCTCTCATTCCCTCTTTCCTCTTTCTCTCTTGTCTCTTTGCCTCAGTGTCCTTCTATTTGCCTCCCTCTCTTTCTCTCTTTCTTGCTCCTTGCTTTTTGCTTGCATTACACTTGTTAATGTTTCACCTTCCATTTCTTTCTAGATTCAGAACCATTCCTTTATACATTCACAATGGCTGTGACTGTATTCAATTACTATTTAAATCCTCTATTCTGGGAATGATTTTTGAGGATTATGAAATTCATTCCTCTGAATCTAATATCACTGAAACCCACATCATACTCCTCTGGGACTGCAACTTTTCCCTTTATCTTTAGATATATGTTTTAGAGTAGCAATTTCTCAGAATTCTAACTCAGCCAGCTCTTTCACCTTGTGCTTTACTTGTTATAAGAGCTAAAACATAACACCTACTCCCCCCACCGCCAGTCTCGGCTACTTACTTATGCAGTTCTTATGTGCAGAATACTGATATTGACCTCACAATGTTATGGTAAATAGTTAAGGTCATAATTTATATAATTCATTCAAACTCTACTACTTAAATTTAATATAAAAATGATGATGATGAAGAAATAATAATATTTGATTTATTTTTAAAGTATATTCTATACCTTCCCAACAAAATTCTTGTCTTTGAAGGCTAATTTTGCCACCATCTTTCTGTGTATCTGTATCTAATAAATAATTGTTAACCATGTGCTAAAATGCTTAAATGCTAAATGTTTAAATGCAAAACAATTATTATTAGTGGCAGATTTAGTTAACATCGTGCTAATAATAATCTGCCGAAACTTTAAACCTCTTTAACTCCACCCTGAATTTTACAGTGTTTTTCTCTTCCAGGGAGATTTTTTTCTTTTTTAAACTAAAATCTTTCACTTACTTTCCAGTGACATTTTTGACATGCTTTTCTTTCTAGGTTTTTAAACATTATTTTCTAGATTTTTGCATTTGGAAGAGCATTATGGAATATAATAACATTAGAAATGGAACAATCTCATCAAATTCTATTTCCAGATGGATCTACATACTTTACTGATGAATCCTGTATTAAGCTAAGATTTCTGTATTCATGTTTGATACACTCATGCTTGATCCGAAGCAAACATTCCCCCTTTCCATCTCTCATTTGCAAACAGAGGTAATAATACCACCCATCTTGTTGATATTTTCAGACCATGCATGCCCTAGGCCTCTCCCGGGCCTGATCTGGGGGAAAGGCATGTGCTCTAGCCCACCCATTCCATCACCAGGGGTTGACACCTGCATTCCAAGTCACAGCAAGGCCAGTGCTGAGTGACGAGTGTCGTGATGGAGAACATGCACTCAGAGCAGAAGAGCCCGTTCTGTATGGAGATCGGGAGGCACAGAGTCACTGGTCTGAAATCCCACTTCCCAGGGGCTCCACACATTCTTTGGGACAGGGAGGTCTAATGGGCAGAGAGGGCCCCACCAGCAGAGGCCTTCTGCCTGCTTCAAGGGGGCAACATGGAGTCCCAGAAATGCCACCCCAACCTCTGAACCCAGCATCTTGGTCTCTACTGTCTCCCTGGAATCCTGCCATCTCATGGTGTTTTCTCATGGGTCATTTTAATTGTTAAAACCAACTTAAATCTTTCTTCATCCCTTGCAGTCCGAGATTCACAAAACTTTGTGCATGTCCTGTTATGACCCTCCTCCTTCCCTTCCCAGTTCCTAGAAGGTCTCTACTGTTCTTTCTGGAATCCTGGTTCATTACCAGTAAATTCCTCTAAATCCATATTGATTTCCTTACCTTCCTTTTACTTTCTCCTCCATCTTTTCTCCTGAATGCCAGACTTCTGTATTCAACTGTCCACTTGCCATCAAAACCCACATTTTAAACTCAACATGCCTAAAACATTACCCTAAACTTTACACACACACACACACACACACACACGTTACATCATCTCAGTGGATGGCAACTCTGTTCTCTCAATTGCTCAGGCCAAAAATCTGGTACTCCGCTCTTGATTTCACTGGCCCAGACTCAGTCCATCAGCACACCCTGTTGGCTATCCCTTTACAACATCACCAGAGTTCCGCCATCCCAACCACGTGGCTGAGCTTCCCTCCTCTCTCTCGGGGTTAGTTTCCTAACTTAACCATGGCTGTGCTCCGCACCCCCACATCCATTCTCAGTGCAGCTGGGCTAAGCCTTTCAGTGCCCAACATAGTAGTATCATCACAATGACCTCTCATTGGTAAAGCCAGAATCTTCACAGTGAAGCTACAAGCCCTGGAGGACCTGAACCAGTCCCTCCTCTGAGTCTGTCTCCCTCCCCTTACTTCCACTGTCCATCCTGCACATGTACGCTCGGCTTCCTGCTGGCTACCTCCTACCACCGGCCTTTCTTCCAGCTGTGCCTTCTACCTGTGCTTCCCTTTCCCCAGATGTCTCCTTTGCTCATTCCCTTTCATCCTTTAAGCTCAAACCTGCTTCTCAGTGAGGGCTGCTCAGCCCTCACCCACCCAGAACCCACCCCAGAGCTCCTTCACCAGACCAATGGAGACTATTTTCCAATATATTACTTATCCATGCCTAATGGGTTACATTGCTGTCTTATTTATTAGCTCATCTTGTTTTGTTGCTTTTGCCTTTTCTTGGTAGAATGTAAGCACTCTGCAGTGAGCAGTCTTTGTTGATAATATGTTCACCTTCACCCAAGCACCTTCAACACTGTTTTGTCTGTGGTATCACTCAGGGCATATTTGTGGGATAAATAAATGATCATCTTGCTGGGAGTGCAGAATTAAATCCTGGGTCTGAAAGTGTTTTGTGAAATGTAGTATGCTACAGTGGTATTATTATTATACAAATATATAAATAATAATAGCATATGTATAACTAGATAATCACTGACCAATAAAGTATAATGTCAAGTGCTAAATGAGTAAAATTGATTTTGAGGTGTAGAGAAAATTTTAATAGAAGGCTGAGTTTGCAGAGGTGATGGATTCTAGTGACACGATGACATGCCATGTCAAGGTGTGGTCCCACTGAGCCTCCTGTAGCTTTGATTCCCCATCACAGTGACATTGCTTCACACACACAACATACACCACCTCTCTTAGACTTGCTAGAAACATAGGGAACATTCTATAAAATTATAAGGACTAAAACCTTTTTTTAAAAAATTGGTTTCATGCTTTATGTATTCCTTCTCTGAACTGCACAATTGAGCCACATTCTCTCCCTACACAGTAACTTGGGCCTGCTTTCCTCTCCATCACTTCCCTCTGTTATTATACATTGCACTTTTTTCTAATCCACATTATTATAAAGAATGACTAACTTCATGGGGAGTGGTTAAAAAGTCACCCCTAACATTAGATACTAGTTTCCATATCTACAACAGAAGACTCGATGACTTATTTAAGTAACTAAATTGATCATTTCAGGCTGCAATCAGGTGACTGGTTTGTAAAATGAATTAACTAAATCAGCTCATTATTCTAGCATGTTGGGAGAGCCCTGAATGGAGGGAACTGGGAAGAGGGTGATATGTGGAGCTGGTAGGGAGGGAGCAGGAAGTAAAATGGCTTCATTAGCTGGCAGAAGGAACGAGGCACAAATTAGAGTGGTGATTTCAACTCTGTGTCCCAAAGGGCAGAGAAATTGGGAACACTGGGATTTATTAAGCCCACCTGCTCTCCGAGCACCGACCCTCCATGCAAGTTTCTGGGGAGCTACTCTTCCATTCTCCAAGGAAGAGGGAAGGCTGGAGATGGCCTGCGTGTGGAAGGAGCACACATTCCACAGGTATACAGGGCCTACCCATCCACATTCATGGAACATTCTCTTTCCTCCCTGATGCTATGACATACTCAAAAGTACCCAAATAATTATTGTGATAAATTCCCAAGTCCATTTACTCAAACAAGTCTGATTATTCTCTGATTTTGTCTGACTGCCTGCAAGGATTCAATTTCTGTTCATTTATTTACTTTATTATTATTTAAATTTTCAGCCTTGTGATATTATAGTTGCCTCTACAAGAGCATTAAAACACAGTCATGTATATACAACCTAATACATCAGGGGTTCATGACACTTGCTCAATTTCCCCCTAGTTAGTTTTTGAAACTAAAGTATAAATTGACATATGGTGACATCTCCCTTTCAAATCCCAAAATAAAACTAAGTAAATAAATGAAACAAAATAGTTCACCCTGTTAGCTCCTTAAATTAATAATAAACTTTCTATTAATCAATGTACCTATACAAATTTTTCCACTAACTAGGAAAATGGGTTATTTCATTTCCGTACATAAAATTCCTAAGTAAACAAAATATGAAAATACTATCCCTCTATTTTCAGTAGATCTAAGGAGAAAAAAAACAGGTAGGATGGGACCAATTATGCCTCAATTGTTTTTTAGACACATAATAATTCTTAGGAACAAGGGAAGGGAGCAAATGTCCTGACAGCATTTATGTTTATGGAAATTAATGGAGTGAGTCCCCAACTTTGCTTACATGAAGTGGTAAGTCCTTCAACTTCCTAGATCAAGGGACAAATTCTCATGGTCCTTATTTTCTGTCTGGACCATATGAGGATTGGAAAGCTTGATGTGACGCACACCTCAGTGTATGCACTAATGACTCCTGTGGCTTCAGTTTCCCGAGGGTGCTGGGTTGTGGATGCACCCAGACCACCACCAGGGTCCCCCTCCAGTCTTTCCTCGGGAGAGCAGCATCACGAGGCATCTGTGCCACACAGCCCTCTGAACAATGACTGCGGCCCACTCATTTACAGAGCAATGGGCCACGGCTGGCCAGGAGAGATACCTTCATTTTCTCTGCACTTGCAATTGCTCCTGGATGGAGTATCTGCATGAGCCCAGGAGGGGAGAAGATGCTGCAGGCATGGAGGTCCTCCAGCCAGGTCTGTGCCTCCTGACTTTTAAATTTTAATGGTACCTGATAGCACACAAGTAAAAATGGTGAGTGTATTTCTAAATTTAGAAGCTCAATTCATAAGTTTGCACTTTTCTATTGGTTTGTTAAATTAAAAACCTGT